CGGGGACTCAGGGGCTGGGGCTGCAGAGCCCCGGGCGCCGACGGAGGTGGCCGGGCTGGGCAGGGCGTTGGGGGAACGCTTCCCCCTCCGTCAGATCCACGAGTGGGACACAGACGGGGTTTAAATGGGAGCCTTGGAGACCCTCACGTGTGGCCCAGGCCAGCCCTGCAGTGACTGACCCCTCCGAGCCCTTGTTAGCCCCCACATCCCGCTGGCTGCCTGCACGGGGTCGCTGGGGCTCAGCCCGCCACGTCCCCATCCCCACTGACCCACAGCGAGAAGCTCTTCTTTGAGATGGCAGACCGCCTGGCGGAGGACGGCTGGAGGGACCTGGGCTACAAGTACGTCAACATCGATGACTGCTGGTCAGCCAAGCAGCGGGATGCGGCAGGACGGCTGGTTCCCGACCCCGAGAGGTTTCCCAGCGGGATTAAGGCTCTGGCTGACTACGTGAGTACCTGCTGGGGATGGCGTGGGGGTCTCTGTGTCCCCACGCCAACATGGCAGGAGGGCTGGGAGGGGATGGAGGAGCCTGGTCCCTGGGAGACACCTCAGACCCCTCCTCGTCCCCTCCTTGCAGTCCTCTTCTCCTTGCAGGTCCACTCCCGGGGCCTGAAGCTGGGCATTTACGGCGACCTGGGCACCCACACCTGCGGGGGCTACCCGGGCACCACACTGGACCGCGTGGAGCAGGATGCCCAGAGCTTTGCGGAGTGGGGTGTGGACATGCTGAAGCTGGATGGGTGCTACTCGTCGGGAGAGGAGCAGGCGAAGGGTAAAGGCTCCCTGGCTGGCTGGCGTTTCTCCCCTCGCTGCTCTGGTCAGGGCAGCTGGCCATCCACAGAAATGCTTGGCCGGCTTTGGGTCTTCCCTCACGTCTCCTGTTGCAGCTCTTGGGCAAAGAGGAGGGAGTGTGGGTGCCCTAGATCCAGCGTAAGGCAGGAGGCCGGGCTGGCCTGGGATCCCCCTGCCCAAGTGGGCTGGGATGCGGGCTGCTGCCAGCCGTCTCCTTCACCATTTGCCATCTTCTCTCCCTAAGGCTACCCAGAAATGGCGAGGGCATTGAACGCCACAGGCCGCCCGATTGTCTACTCCTGCAGCTGGCCAGCGTATCAGGGGGGGCTTCCGCCCAAGGTGAGGGTTGTCCCATTCCTTGGTGGCTGTTTCCCATGTTCCCTGTGCCCTGGGGGAGCTCCTGTTGGAGCTGCAGGAGCCAGGTGCTACACCCCACTTACCCCTCTGCCCCTGGTGGGAGGGGGCTGCAGGTCTCGGGAGAGAACATGGCCTCCTTGCCAGGCATCTGGGGACACTTGGGGTTCCTAACATGGCTGGGTGATGGGAGTTTGGGGGGAGAAGGCCCTGGGGCGTGTGGGGAGGTTGATCCTGACAGTCTGTTCTTCTGAGACTGGTTTAAGTGCTTAAAATAGGATGTTCCTCCCAGTAATGTTTCTTGAGAATTGCATGCGTGCATTTATTTCCTCTTCTACTTTCTGAGTCAATCCCAAGCTGCCCTCATTCTTGCAGCTGATCTTATTTCCCCAAGACCTCTGTGCTTGTTTTGCCAGAAATCTTATCATACCGGATCATAGTGGGATATGACTCCCTCCTCCTTCATTACGTGATGTTGCCCTTCTCCAGATCCCCGTGCTTTGCAAACACCGAACATCTTCTAGATGCTGCAGCAACAAGTCTGGGTGTCCCTTCTCCCCCAGCTTGCAGACCCCATCCTTTCTCCCTCCTGCCTGACCCTGTGCTCCCCTCCAGGTGAACTACACCATCCTGGCAGAGGTCTGCAACCTGTGGCGTAACTACGACGACATCCAGGACTCCTGGGACAGCGTGCTCTCCATCCTGGACTGGTTCTCCGCAAACCAGGACGTGCTGCAGCCGGCAGCTGGCCCCGGGCACTGGAATGACCCGGACATGGTGCGGCTGGGTGGTGGGTGCACTGATCCTGGCTGGGGACGGGGGGTCTCCAGGGACCTCCTTCTAGGGGCAGAGCGAAGGAGGAGCACCAGGGGCAGGAGCCCTGGGGCAGGAGCCCTGGTGCTGCAGAGAGGCAAAGCTCACGTTGCCCTTGGCTAAGCTGTGGTTGCAATGACCCCTCCACCACTCACGTATACCTATCAAGTTGCCGAGGGGTCCTGGTCCTTCCCGGCACAGCCTGAGGGGGGATAGTGGTGAAGGGTGTTATTGAGTGCATTTGAATGGGTGCTGAGGGCTCAGCACCTAACAGGGGTGGGATCTCTTGGCAGTGGTGGGCTGCTCGAGAGGAAGCAGAAGTTCGTGTGAGGTTTCCCGTGCATGCTCCCTCCCAGCAGGCTGCAGCATGACCAAGGGTGACGAGTAGACCAGTTTCTAACCCTTTTCTTTCTCTCCCGTCTCTTCACCCTCTCCCCTCCAGCTCATCATTGGAAACTTCGGCCTTAGCCACGAGCAGTCACGCTCCCAAATGGCCTTGTGGACAGTGATGGCAGCTCCACTCCTCATGTCCACGGATCTCCGCACCATCTCCGCGAGCGCCAAGGAGATCCTGCAGAACCGCCTGATGATCCAGATCAACCAGGACCCTCTGGGAATCCAGGGGCGCAGGATTGTCAAGGTTAGGAGGAAGGCGGACATGTTTAGGAGAGCAGACAGGAGCAGCATGGGGTGTCATAATAAGGAGGGAGAGGGAAGCGATGCAGAGGAACATGTGCAGCAGAGCTGTGGGAGCTGGGGACCTGCTGGCGGAGCAGCCTCACAGGGCAAGGTCAGAAGTTATGGGCCAGCGCCGATCCTGGCAGCTCTGCCTCACCCAGCCATCCCCATCCCTAGGAGAAATCCCACATCGAGGTGTTCCTGCGCCCGCTGTCCCAGGCTGCCAGCGCGCTCGTCTTCTTCAGCCGGAGGACAGATATGCCCTTCCTCTACACCACCAGCCTGGCCAAGCTCCACTTCCCCGAGGACGCCATGTATGAGGTGAGCCCCACTGGCACTCTGCCTAGCGGGACAGCCCCATGGGACCTGGATCCCGCTCTTTCCAGCTCCCTCCTTTGACACCCTGTGTGTTTGGGGAGGGGGAAGGGCTCCCACTCCCTGCCTCCAGGACAAAGGGGCAGATGCCTTTTGGGTTGCCTGCTGCTGTGCCACATCCTGCCATGTCAGTGACCGCGGCTGGACCTCAAGATGAAAGGTCTCTGGAAATCCTGGTAGCCACCATCTCTCTCTTCCAGGTACAAGACGTGTACAGCGGGAAGACCATCAGCGGCTTGAAGACAGGAGACGCCTTCTCGGTCGTTATAAACCCCTCGGGGGTGGTGATGTGGTATCTCCGTCCCACGGCGATCCCGGCACAGCCCTGGCACGTTGTCAGGCAGCGAGCCCCCGGCGAGGGTTTCCGCCCGGTCCTCCTGTGACAAGGCTCAGCGGATGGGGGTGTGGGTCAGTGCCAGGGTGAGCTGCGAGACCCTGCGGCACGGGGCTCTTCACTGCACAAGTGCCTTTCGCAGCTGTCAGGTCACTCCTCTGGTACCAGGTTGATGATGTCTACTCGGTCTGCGTAAAGCAGGAATTCTTGTTACCCACCTCCTCAGAGTGTGCAAAGCGTGATTCCTTGGTGATGGCAAAGCTCTTTGAGATCCTCCTGTGGAAGATGTCATACAAGCGGAGTCCAGCCGCTGTTGGAGTTTGTCAGCTCTGACACCTGAGCACTTCACCAGTTTGAACTGAGTACTACTGACCGCTGCAGGGGCTGTTTGAACTACACCTCTAGAAAGGCCTTGGATGCTTTGGTATCTTCTAGGGTGGTGACACCGCCCCCATCAGCCTCAAGGATCAGACCTGGTCGCCTTCTTTCCTCTGCTATAATCGGCTTGGCTTAGAATAAATAAGGGGCTGGCAATAGGCTGCGCCCTTCCCACGTACGCTCCCCAGGACCAAGTGCCCCTGGAGACAGGATGGTCCTGTGCAGAGAGGTGTTGCTTGCTCCTGCTGCCAGGATCCTGGAGGCCAGCGCCGCTCCAGCCTAGCACGGATGCTAGCATTGTGTTAAAGCCCCTCTGGTATCAGTTTACAGCAGAGCAAAAACCTCCACTGGCCATGCCCAACCCCAGCAGCCTGGCTGTGGTACAGCACCAAAAAAACTGGAGAGCCATAGTGTGCTGTGCATGAGTGGTGTCAGGAAACCGCCATTGCTCAGCTGAGGTCATCTTCTGAGTTGGGAGATGGCCACAGGTGCCTCCAAGCTGGGAGCTGTGTTCTGTTCATGCTCTAGCAGGAAATTCCTGCTAAAAGGGGGCTCGGGCCCTGCTCCAGCCAGCTGAACACTCAGGGTTTCTCAGGGAAAGGCTCCTTCTTCTCCAAGGGCAGCTGCAGCCACAGCCCCATCCTGAGGAGGAGCCCGCACTAATAAACTGGAAGTGAGCGGTGGCACAGACTCTCGAGCCCTCAACTGATTCACCTTCCTACAGCGCACATCCTAAGGAGGAGTTTTAGGCGAGACGTGGCCTGCTCTGACTGTCTCAGAGAGCGGTGCCGCATTCCTGAAGACTGTCTCTGAAGATTGAAACCAGGGAGACCAAGATCAAGCTTCAGACCAGGGAAATACCACATTTCAGATTAGCCAAGAAGGGGGGAAAAAAAAAATTTCCCCTTCCTATTCCAATGACGAAGGAGGGTTGGGCACGCACATCGGTTCCTGCAGGACCAAATGGCCGATTCCGTCCACTTCCAGAAACTTTCTCTGAGTGCAGGGGCAAGATACTGAAGACGATGCTTGCAGTGCTAACAGGGAAGGATGAGTGCACTTCATGTCTGTATACAGGAGCTGGCTTTGTTCTTGGGGAGTGACTGAGACAAATTAATTCAAATAAAGGGGAAGTGGGTCACAGGCTCTGTTTCATGTTTATTCAGTGTTGCTAGCTATACCTGCTGGTTAAGGTAGGATTACGGGGTCACCACCTCACAACAAGAACAACTATGCTAAGAAATAGAACTGGTTTCCTGTCAGAGACTGGACTGGACAGATTTTACAGTCCACAGTTAAGTACCATTTTCCTTTACCATATATTTATTTTACCCTCACTGCAAAAGAACTGGCTAGCAAGTACTTCCTCACAAAGACAGGCCTTCCCTCTGGCAGTAAATGTACATAGGAGAGCTGCTACAAACATAGCCATAGTGAGTAGCAGGGCGGTGACACAGCCCCTGCTAAATGCAGCGTTGTGCCTGCCCCGAGGACAGGAACACGTGCCAGTTCTGGATATCCAGGCGAGAGCAGAGGCACAGACCAGCCTTCCACCTCCCCAGGCAGCAAGAGAATGAGCAAGAACGAAGGCCAACACGACACACACAACAGTGACCAGGCAGCTAAAGGTATCAACACTCCTGTATTAAAGTGCAATTCAAAAAGTTACAAACATTCATGGTTCTTGGGGTTTTTTTTTAATACAGAGTTATTAGAATATACCTAACTCAGACTTAAAAGGTGTTTATAGGTAAGAAAATGTACTTCCACCCATGCAGGGCTGCTTTAGGAATTCTCACTCGCGAGTCGTGCAAGCCTGACTCACGGGAGAGCCCTGGCACACAGGGAAGTAAGAGGGAAAACGCTTCCCCTCCACCGCGAAGGCAGGAAGGCTGCAGGAGGAAGCACGACCACCCCACACGTAAAGGATCACGAGGGTCCCCACCAGACTAGAGACCCCCTTCAGAGCAGGTTTAATGGCACTACGTCCTGCGAAGCAGGAGAGGCGGCGGCCGAGCAGCCCATCTCTGCCAGAGAGCTGAGCGCTGGCAGCGCCCGCGCCAGACCGCGGCTCCCGGCTGAGAGAGGGCCCCGCACCCCGAAGCAACCCAGCTCCGGTCCGGCAGCGCCCACCTGCCCACGCTGCCCCGGCGTGGGCGTACACGCGCTGCCGGCC